TGGGGATGACACCTCCAGAGGGCTCATCAGCAACATCTGGCGTCCCAGGTGTCCCCCCTCTGCTTTACCGCCCTCCACTCACCCGTATGCTACAGCTGATGTTTTGAGGCCCAGGAAGTCTCTCTCCTCTTGAACCAGAGCCAAAGACTAGCCGGTTGGGTTGCACTGGAGAGAGCTTTGACGGCAGAATTTCAGCCAATTTACGTCGCTTTTCCGATCCAATTAAAGTATTTACCGGTTCTTCACCCTGAGTGCCAGCTCCTCCCCTCAGGCCGACGATACAGGGTACCCCGAGGGAGGAACAACCGTTTGAGACATACCTTTGTTCCCTTGTCCATCAAAGCCCTCAACAGTACCAAAGCTGTAATGTGTGTGTATATGTGTGCATGTATGAGGTTGTGTGAGTGTGTGTGTGAAGATGTGTAGATGTACCTGCACTGTTATCACTTTTCATAACTATTACATATTTATGGTTTTAGTAATTCATTTGTATGGAATTTAATGATTATTTTACTGACATGTTTTACCGGCGAATGAATGTATTTTGTTATTTTTTGCTACTGCATCAGAGCTCAGTGAAGTCCAAGACAAATTTCCCACTGGGACAATAAAGTTAATCTTAATCTTAATTTTACTAAAGTATATTTTACTTACAAGAACAAAACATGTACAGGGGATCAGAGATTATTTAGATAACGTTCTATTCATCCTGCTCTGATGGCATCTGTTCTTAGTTTGAAATCTTTAAAGGCAGATTTTGTCAACATTTTCTTCATGTTATCAGTGTATTGATCTTTAAACTGGACTTGCAGGCCATATTGAGTGAGGACTGGAACCACATGTGGCCCCAGGGTAAGGAAAAAACACATTGTGTGAGCTGTAATAGCTAATAAAGCCGAGTTATCCTACTCTCAAAGTGTGATCCATCTGTATGAGCAACTCTGTACTTTTAAAGTTAGAATGTGGGACATCATAAATCCAGTCTATCCTGTTTAATGTCTCTCTGGGTCATGACTGTCTACAATGAGTGAGAAGCTTGAGTCCCGCTGGCTGTGTTGTTGTCAGAGCCGTGTTTACATGGACGGGACGGTCAGCTCCTCCCCTTGTGTATAAAAGCTGTTTTAGTCAAGAACAAGAGAGAAGAAGAAGAACATACTCACTGATTATTTGGATGTTAGTAAGAGTTTTTAGATCATGATCATTCTGTGTCAATTTACATGCAATGTAAATCTACGAGCTAACTAAATAACGCCAACATTAGCACAACACACAAATGTGTAAATATATTCCCATACTGTCGGTATTTTTTAGACATTTATCCGGATGTGCTCTGATGCACAACTGCCTTATTATTGAGATTCCTGTGGAGCAGTTTTCTGATTACTTTCTCATATTTTGGGGAAGCTTGCAGCTTTTAACGTGGAGGAATGCAGCCTCCTGTGTTGGCTCAAATACTTTAAATCTTGTATTACAGGCTTTGTCGGATTAGACTTCATTATGTTGTCGAGGGGATTTAGTTACATGAGTCCTGCGAGTGGGGAAATTGAACTTGAATGGAAGGATCTGTATGAAATATTGTTTCTAACAGCTGATGTCTGTGCACATCATACATTTACACGCTCTAAGATTTAAAATACACAATACTCGTACAGCAGAACATCTCATTATATTATTTATAGTAACATTTCCTGTGCAATTTTACTTTTTGCTTCTGATGCATAAAATACGGGACCTAAGCAGACACACAATCATACATTAATGAAAGCAGACGCTTTCAGCTCAATCAGCTGTTAGCACCATCAGCTGGTAGAATCATCAGCCGTTGTCCTAGCAACTAGTTCGCTAGTTGGCAACTAGGCTCCTGTAGCATAATTTATTTATTAAGATATTATATCTTTATTTTACCTCGGAGCACCACCTCACAAAGTAAGGAAATTAATATTACCTGTAGTAATTAATTAATCAGTCAGTTTCATATCTTGAAAGAAGTTCTAGAAATGTTAAACCAGAAAACACAGACAAAGTTCAGAATTTTATGTGTAAAATTTAATATAGAAATGGTGAACAATAAGGTATAGATGAAACAGATAAAGAATATGATTCTTATGATCGGGATAATGCAATTATAACGTATGGTGACATTATATATTTAGTATCGAGATAAGACGCGGTATTGTTTTAATGACTTAATCAGCAAATGATCGAAAGGGAAAAAGTTGATAAACGAATTTTGGGATTCTATTTGGATTTAAAGGGGGCTCTGAATAGACACAACTCACGACTTAACACCCACTGCAGAACCAACACTCTTACTGTGAGTTGTGTTCAATTGAACTCCGCCTGCTGGTCCTGCGATTCAGTCTACGGCAAGTGGTTCTTTTCAGGCCCAGAGAGGTCCATGGGCCAGATTAGATGCCTTAGCACCTTGGTTGGAGTATGCAGCTGGAATGGAGGTGGAATGGCAGTTCAGCCGTAATGGTTGTGTCTTCATCACTTCCAAGAGGATCCAACAGGAAAAATATTAAAGAGTCTTTTGATACGTCGATTTCCAACTCAGATTAACCTGATGGCCATCTCGATGAATCCAAATGAAGGAATCAGCGTTCAAAATTGAAGAGCAAAGACTTTGGAGAAGAAAGTTCAAAAGCCTTGTTTGAGCAAAAATAATTGATGTTTCAAAAATGTGCGTTGAAAATATAAGTTCAGCAGAGATTCGTCTCTCTATGGCGCAAACTTCTCAAGGTGATTCGAACTAACGTCCGAAGAGAAGCAAGCAAGAGCAAGAAGCAAGAACCTGGAAAAACCAAAGATCTGAGCGGAGTCTGAACTTTTATCAGCTGCAAGAGAGCGGGGGTGACTCCCACTCTGACCGGAGGACAATTGTTTAAATTAAACCGAGTTTACTCAATAAGATTAAGAATAAGAATTTAAACATATATACGTCACCATACATTCATTTAGATATTACTTCTATCAGAGCCACGTTGATGTAGAGTCACGTCATATATTTAGACATGCATTTCTATCAGATCCATGTTGAGATGAAAATCACACCACCTGGGAACATCCTCAGTTAATCCCAGCCTGTAGGTGAACAAAACCATGTTATACAGTCAGCATTCTTAGTAAGGCATATTAATAAAGTAGGAAAATAAATTGGTGTCTTTAAATAACACCTTCTATAGCTAATATCAAAGAGTATGCTTTATAACACATCTAAATGTATAATTATGAAGGTTACGTATTCATGGAAATTCTAACACTAGATGGCAATAGCGCTCCATGTCAAATTCCTATTAAAACTATTATAACTCTCATTTGTATTCTGAACATCAGATTTTGAGTTGAAAAAGATGATTATAATACATTCAAAGTAACAATTACAAATATATTGATGAAGAAAGACATAAATGTTCATTTGATGCAGAATTGAACGCTGTGGTTTAATCAGCTTTCCAGCAGTCCTTAAAACAGATGGTCAGTTTTTACGACTTTGCAGAGACTGGTTTCGGTCACAGTTCATGTCTTTGGGGTGAATTCCTAGATAGCAGAGTGTTCTGTTTCCGCTTGGTTGTTAACTCAAGGCGTTGTAAAAGTTTAAAATATCCTGTCCTCCAGAGCCTGTCTGAGAGGGAGACTTAAATCATTGATCTGTTCCTTTTTTTTTTGGTAAAAAGTAACCAAGATGTTGGGGCGCGCTGGTGGCGCAGTGGCAGGGCGCGCGTCCCATGTGTTGAGACTCATCTCAAGCAGTAGGCCTGGGTTCACCTCCACCTGTGGCCCACCTCTGCATGCCATTCCCCACTCTCTCTCCCTGGTTTCCAACTCTATCCACTGTCCTCCCTCTGAATTAAAGGCACGAAAAAGCCCAAAATAAGTCTTAAAAAAAAAAAAAAATAGTAACCAAGATGTTAATCCACATTCCTGAGTCCTGCAGAAAGAGAGGTTGTGAATTGTGGCTGCTAATATCGGCTACACTCCATTGCGGTTTTAACTTAAATCAGAGACTTAAACCAGGCAGGGGTCCTCCTGAAGGACTCAGTGGTTAGTCCAATAACTTTTGATCCAATCAATGCTCGGTAAATTGGCCAATAGGTGAGTCTCAATCCAACCAAAAATATGCCAGACTAAACCACTGGCATACTTTTATTCATAAGGTACTTCAAAAAAGTACTGGAAGATACCATCTTCGCTCGCAGGATTTATACCTTTTAACCATCCCTAAAGCCTGTACAGAATTAGGAAAAAGGGTGTCAAGTATGCTCTTCTTGGAATCGGTTTTAAGATACTTTAAATCTTTAGGAGCTGGTTTCCTTGAATGTTTTTAAAGGTCTTTTTAATGATCTGGAGGCGGGCATATCTGATTGTAGGTGTTTTCATTGACTCGTATTGCCCTTTTTGATCGCCTTGTTGTTGATGATTTATGACAGATTTTGAGCTCTATTCTCCACGACTGTTCTCGTCCTTTAAATGAGAAAAGAGTTTAAAAGAGTTTCAGCTGCTGCCCAAGGGGAGATCAAAACACTACAGAAACACTTTTGTACCTGCAGCTAGAGCACTATGAAACAAAGCTAGCACAAGATGATGCACTTTAACCAAGTCAGGATATCTTAAACTTTTGAGATGGTGTCTGTGGAAGGACTTTGCCCTGACATGATGAAAGCGATGATGTTTGTTTTAATGTAATCTCTCTGCTCTTTTTAACCTTGAATGTGTATCGTTATGTGTTGTATGTCTCTTTGGAACGCTGAATCTCACAACACATTTACCTTTCTAAGTACCAATAAAGAAACCTTGATTCTTGAACCTCATTTTGTGAGAGCTCAAGGAAAAGACTCGCTATCATGGGGAAACCAGAGACCAGAGATCATGAAATTAATAACCTTCTAGTTGAAAGACGACTGACTCTACCACTGAGCCACAGCCGCCCCCTTGAAAATGACAGTAAAGTCAATATAATCATATAATAAAACGTTAAACAATGAGCCAGAACACTTTTCTGAAGACAATTTTTTATTAAGAAATAAAAAAAGTTTTACACTTTGTAAAACCTGTTCAAACACATATTTTTTTCTCTTTTTCTTTTCTAGCTTACAGGTTGGCAATAGAAATAAAAAATAAAAGCTTTCAAATTCATTTAAAAAATGTTTTTTTTTTCTTCAACAAGAATTAAAAAAAAACATTTTCCCCCGTGTACATTCTCAAAAAGGAAAGGCTGGTATACAGTTTACAGTATGATGCAGGAAAGACAGAGGCAATGTCATTGGAGACCATGACCAGGATGAGTCGAACATGAGAGAGGGACGGGGAGGAAGAGCAGGGCGGGACTCCATTTCCCAGAAGCGTCAACGCAGAGATCATTAAAAGGAGGGAAAGCTTTTGATGTTAAATATTGTCCTCTGAAACTTGAGCTTACATTATAAATCTGGATATCTATGTGAGGACATCTTTTTTTCAAGCTTCAAACCGAAGAACATCGAGAATATTTGCGTTCATGACGCTTGCCAGGAAATGGAGCCCACACATTTACCTTCCTCAGCAGCCAATAAGAAGCAGAGTGACGACGGTGATAGAAGAGATTTTGAGTCACCATTTTTGAAGCCCAAAGGTCAAACCTGTGTGGCGTCACAGAAACATGACAGACTCTGAAGCCTGCAGATATGAACATGAGATTGAAACCCCGGCTGTTTGTCTCTGTTTACATGCAAGTTTGGTTTCTTTTTCTTTGATAAAGCAGAAAGGTTTGCAGGGCTTTGGCGGAGTCGAGCTGGATGTAGAAGTTGTGTACAATAATTTAAAGCAAAGCCCACATTTGATGTTGTGTAATCTGGTTTTTATTGGATTTTCTGCTCCCATCGCAATGGGCCAAGCTTCCCAAAAGCAGCTGCATATTTTTCCCATCACAGGAAAATCAGACTTTGATTCCTCAGAACAATTGCCTGTTACTTGAGTAAAGATGGTGAGCTTTGGTGGCGGCGTGCTGTTGGGAAGCTGCCTGATTTTTTTAAAGCAAACAGCAGAATTGAAAGTAGAAAGACGGCATGCGTCTTGGCAGTGTTACTGTGTTTCACCCCTCCCCCCACCCTCCCCCACCCCTCCACAAACTCAGACGTCTGTCACCAAAATAAAAAACTGCAATTCGCAAAGAAATTTAGTTTAATGTCACAAAGTTTACAAATGATTTGATTCTCAGTGCATTTCAAACGACACGATCTTGGATGGGATAGTGGTCTCATTTGGTTTCGTCCCATACTGCAGAGCATTTTGTGGCGGCTTTGAATTCAACTGGACCCTGAAGATTCAAATTTTTCTTTTTTTCTTCAAGATTTCACAGGCGATCGTCTTACTTGAAAAAGGTGAAAAAAACCAAAAACAGCATGAAAAATAAAAATTCTTCTACAAAGTATTGCACGTAACAAATTGTAGCTTTTTTGAGTGTTTGCTTTTTGATTGATAGTCGTACATGTTACTCCAATGACAGAGGTTCAGATACACTATGTTTGGAATACAAAAGGCAACGTGACAGACAACACAGATCAAACAGAATAAGAAAAAACGTCTGAATTCAATAAAACAAGATCAAAGAAATCATATTTTTTTCGGTCTAAAAAATAAAATCTTCAGAAACTTTTACATCCACCCGCGGGTGACTTTCACATTTCAACATTCGGCGGTAAAAACGTGTGCATGGCTAATGCTTCGATTCTCTTGCAAACTCTTTAAATCTGAGACAACAACAACAACAACAACAAAAACATGGGTTAGCTTCGGGTAACGTATGCTAACTGACGGGGAGTGTAAGAAGGCAGAGGGACTGGTACATACTGGGAACACACACACACACACACACACACGTGCACACACACACACACACACACACAGAGATAGGCAGAATAATCGGATAAATGACTGCATTAGTTCATTCTGGTCCACGTTTCCACACAAAAATAAGGATCTCTGCACCGGGCAGGGGGAAGGTTTTTATCCAGTCAAAGAGTTGTATGCGTCGTTGAAATGGCTTAATTAGATATTTCTGAGTTTGTCTTTTCAGAATTTTACATTTCTAACATCACCTTCTTTTAGTTGAAGACGATGCACAAGTCAAAGATTATTAACGTTTATTTTTCTTGCAGTTTCATGAATGCACCAAATTCAAAACCCTGTGGACTAATCGACGCCAAGACAGATTCTTATGGTGCGTTCCATTTGATCTCAGAAGTCGGAAATGCAGTATCAATGGACGTGTTGTGATTTTATTTTTGCGCCATAGTTATCACATATTGTGTTGTTATCGCCTGAAATAAGCTAACAAACAAAGGTTCTCCTGGAGGCATCCATGTTGCTCGTCCAACTTGTTGCATGTTCACGATTGGAAAGTGGTTAAATCAGGTGTGACGGTAAATGGAACGCACCATAAAACTTTCCTTAAGTGTAATTTTGTCGCCAAAGGGAGGCCGACACATTTTTCCTTTCAGCATTAACACATTTAGTTTTTAACCCTCGGTGCAAAGATCCTTCAGAGGACGCGAGAACCAGATCTGTACAAAAAGTTCACGATTAAAACAAAGCTTCGTATTCGTATTAAAATGGGAGGTCTGCAATGGGAAGCGTTAACTGTACAAAGACGACTCATATAGGAAAAGTTTGTCACCATATGAAAATAGATGTCTCCTGTGGATTTGGTTTCACAAATCCCTTTGAATGATATGAACTAGATTATTCGACGTGAAGAAAGAAACAGACGAAAAAGCTTCTAGGACCCCCACAGTGAGGCCCTGGACTCACAAGTACTTCTCACGGGATGTTGTTGGTCACTTCCTGAAACGCGTGTATTCGATGTGGGTTCATGTTTATTGAGGTTTTTTTGATCTATTTATATCATGTCTTCTTTTGGGAGAACCGAAGCACCAAAAGCTTCGCCAAAACCAAGTGTTTAAACAACATTCAGATTTCTTTTTTTTTTTTTCACCGTTGAGGACCCTGAATAAAAAGATGGCAGTGTTATTTTGTTTCTTCTCGTTTCTTTGTGGCCTCATCGTTTGATATGAAGTCCAAATTATACAAATAAGGTGCGATAAAAACTCATGCTAACTCACTCTCTCTGGATTTTTGCCTCAGATTGTGGAGAAATCAGGCAGTTAAGGTGCGATTTTTGCATTCAGTGTGACAAAGAACCAATCTAGTGGCTTTTTTTTTTTAGCACAAAAAACATCAATTTTGATTGCTACCGTTTAGCGTCAGCTCTTTGTCACCCACAGTTAGCAGTCGAAACTTTTTGGACGCTGGGTTGATGCAGCTTCACAGCCGATAAAAGCACTCCAGAGAAGGTCCTGAGTGGATGGTCGCTGGTGACACATACACATGGGAAACCCCTTGTTACACAGACCGATCCAAATGAAGCTAACGGTTGTGTTTGTCGTACTTCTTGGAAACGTCTGCTTTGCTCGGTTGTGATTGGATCACACGATCTGTACTATGGCCCTTTAATCATCATGAGGAATGAAATGTAGTTTTGTTTTCATGTTTCTTTAAAAAAAAAAAAAACAGCCAGAGTTGAAGATACAGCGTCTGTTAATGTATCATAAAGTGGATTTACTCAGAGTACCAACGATGTACAGAGTTTGGACCAAGCTTTTCTTAAAGTACTAATCTTGTCGTACTTTGTGACACAGCGTTTTACAGTCTTCTGCGTCAAATTTGAGAGTTCTTACCCAAAAAGGAAAACTCAAACAGGAAGTTAGAGCACCCAATTTCTAAATTGTCAAAAGATCTTCATTTAGAACATGTAAAAAGCTGCACGGCTCTGCGCTGCATTCATCAGTGATGGATTCATCGATGAAGCTCTACTTGTTTTTGGATTCCTGATGTAAAACAAACCTCTTTAGCTTTCATTTCAGTTAGCTAAAGTAACCACAGTGTCTTGGAAAAAACAAGCCCAAACTCTGTCACTCATTGGCTCTGGTTTGTCTGCAGCCAGCTGCCACAGTTCACAGTGACTGAAGAGCAATTGGAAACACGGACGAGCGGACAGTTTGACACTGGCTGATCTGTTGGAAGTGCAACCCAACGATTGGTTTCTTTGAGTCACTGAGTTGGTGAAATATTGTTTAACCATTGACAGTGCCCTGCCAGGCTACTTTAAACCAAATTAAATACTGTCCCCTGGTATTTACAAAAGAGAAAAAAAGCTATAAACCCCCAACGCCTACAAACTTACAGATGGAGCCATTGTAGAATTCCCATTTTTTTCTGTACATTGAACTGCTTGTTGAATGTCCGACCCAAACCCCCCACGAGAGAAAGTATTGTAGAAATCTGTTGCATTGTTTGTTTCCCCGACGCTAAAGACAGAATCGTTGGCAGGACAGATGCATGAAAGGTCTATTACTACAATGGCTGCCACTGTAGATGTATGATTTGTATAATAGCTTCGTATTTTCACCAGATGAAAGACGTGTTCCTTCCTCTATGTAAAACTACAGCAATTATCACCAATAGTGAATACCAATAACATTATAGTCTTAATAAAAAAAATCTAAACATTGACAGAGGAAAAACTAGTAATAATGTAACTTCCTCTGTAGAAAAAAAAAACAAATCCAATCCGAAAAATGTAAGCCAAGAGTGCCTAGTGCAGCACTAATGTACTGTAAACTGGTCTAGGACAGAGAAAGATAGATAGAGAGATAGATATAGATAGACTGGTTAGCTACTACTGTACAGTACGCCACAGACAACACACTCAAGGGTTCAACCTCCACAATTCAAATCCTTTCAGATACCTCCGTCTTTGTGCAGGAACCGGTTTCCTTTGGACACAGTCTCAGTGCTAAGTTTTCTCGTTGGCCCATAGCTTCCGGCCTCGGACGATAGGGATACTCATGCTAAGGTGGTTCTGGATTCTGGCTTGGTAAAGGTCGTCGGCTATCGTGTCTGTGTCAGGTAGACTTTTATCTGCCTTTCACAGCTTGTTTTTAATGATTGGAAAGGAGAAGACTGCAGATGAGGGATAGCAATTTCACGTTGGGTGATTTGTTAAGTTTGGTTGGTTGAGTAGTTAAATTCAGAAGGATTTCTTTGTCTGGGATTTGGAACACACTTGAACCCAACAGTGACCTTGGAGATTGGTGAATTAAAACGAGTTTGCTCGTGGACATTTTTGCCAATTGGATCTAAAAGAAGACAAAGATGATTTCTCAGAGTTCCTTTTTACCGACGACATGCCGCTTTATCTCTCCAAAGGCGAGTTCAGACCAAAAGCGAAGCTAACTTCTCACTAGCCGAGTTTAAAGACAAAGTGAACGGCAAATTTGTGTTTTGGATTAGCATTTTAAAAATTCGGATCTTGTCTTCTTGTGGATGGACTAATCGAAGACTATCCTACAGATCTGCAGCATGATATTGTTATTATAGCATCATTTACAATAATTAAAAAGTGAAGTCAAATGAATGTGTTTATGCTGCTTTAGAGCGCCAGAGAGCAGTGACAGTCTGCCTTACTACTTGGAGTTAAATGCTGCTCACTGATCTCTTCACCTTAATTTTATCAATCCTGAAAGTGCTTAAAAATCTAGAGGGGTCGGTCTTTTGCCTGCTTTTTTGAGGGGCGCCTTGGGATGAAACTTCTCGTGAGCTGGCGCTATACAAGTGGTGGTGGAAATGAACCATCACAGGTTGTGTTGAACCTTTTCAAGTATCCATCAATGATTCTGCCGTCAAACTATGACGGCTTGAGGAAGTATTTACTAAACTTTTGGTCTGAAGTTCCTTCATTTTGGTAAAAGAAAATGTTTACTTATGTTTTTCTGGGCGTCTGTTTTACAAAAAGGAACGGATGAATCCAAGTTGAACCTGAAGGCAAATACCCTCAGATAAGTACACCCAGTCCAAAGAGAAAATAAGTATTCATAGAGCAGCCAGATAAAGTACTTTTGGTGATCTGTGGAGGCCGTTTGATTCAAGGACTCAACGACAAGTGTCTCAACAAAAGGGGAAAGGCAAACAACCTGTGAGTTTATCAGAAACAGATTTGAAATGGGATGCTACCCTTACAAGAAGACCATCAAATGCAAACTACTTCCAAAGTATTCCTAAGAGATTTGAACGGGAACATTTTTTTTCCTTAAAACCCTTTTCAGTCCACCAGACAGACAAAGAGACAGAAAGCTAGCTAGCTTTTAGAAGCATTTCAGAGGAGAGGAGAGGAGAGGAGAGCGGTCTCATGGAGAGCCTCAGCCTCACTCCTTTACATCATGGTTTCTACGATGGTGTGGGTGGGCGCCTTCATCAGCAGGCCCTTGTTCCCGTTGGGGTCCAGAGGGCAGGAAAGCTCCTTGAGGCCGCGATGATTTGCGGGACGAGAGCTGGCCCCGCCACGAACAGGGGCTGCCACCGCCTTAATCCTCTGCAAGAATACAGGAATGGAAAGAGGAAGAGATGGATAATAGTAATCAAGAAAAAGAAAGAGAGACAGTGGAGAGAAAGGACAAGAAGGAATGGAGTGAGGAGAGATCGAGAGGACAGATGGGAGAAAGAAAATACAAAAAAACACGTTAGCCTTGAAATTTGGACTCACAACTAGAGATACACCAATTAGGAAAATAACAACTGATTCAAATACTAATGTACCATGACATGACTCTCAATCTCAGAGTTTGTCCAACAGCTGACCCTCTCAGCCTCTCAACCCGCCCAATGAAAAACCTCTTCTCTGTTTCAGCCGTTAGCTGTACCAGATGTCAGCATTAAATTGACATTATTTGCAGATGTGCCGATACTGATGTTGCATCAGTGAATCCCTACTCACAACATTATCTACAAAAGTGACATTTAAAAAGGTGATTTAAACAATCGTTCGTTCTTAATCCGATTAAATGTGGCCACTCAGTGAATGGCCCAACATCGATGGCCCACCTCGATGAGCGGCCCGTCAGATCGGATGATCTTGATGACAACCACCATGGGGATGCAGATCATGGAGGCCAAGGCCAGAGTCCAACCTATTCCGACAGCCCAGTCAGGATACTCGTAGACCTTGTTGTACGTCAACGGCTTGTATTTGACCAAGGAGAAGATGAAGCAGCTCTGCAGAGAGACAAGGACATGCATGGTCGGATTCATCGAATCGTAATAACTAAGTATCACATGGCTAGTTAAAACATGTTTCCAAAGCGTGTTTCTCACCATGCACAGTAAAGGAGTGATAACAGTCCAGCTCCATTTCATCCAAGCATTTGGTCTGTAGCCCATCATGTCCTCAAGAGCATCATAGAAATTATCAACGCCTGAGAAGACAGCACAATAACTCTGGATTAGTTAAAAAACAACAGAATGCAATCGTGATATATTTTACCAGTGAAAATAATTGGCAAAGCATCAAAAGTCTCGCAACAGACATGAGGTCATTCAACGTTATGGAATAGGGCATTGATAAAGAAACGGGACAAATGGATTGAAAAATCTATTTCCCTCAGAGAAGATGTTGTTTAAGATCCTGTGACCATTTACAACGAGAGCGGAGCACGCAACTTTGTTTTCAGGGCGCTACTCACCGCAGTTACTGTTTCTAGGTTACAAAATTGAGTTGCATACCGCTCCTCTCTGTAGTGACCCATGAGGTCTGCTTTGAACTGCTTTGTATGCTTCATTTTTAAAACAGAAAGGAATGTTAAAGGAGCGACATGGAGCTCTGACCCCTAGTGTTTAAAATGGGTACTGCCGTCTAAATTCTAAACATTGTAGAGAGCTGTCTCCCCCCGCCCCCTCCTCTCTAGAGTCGATGCTCACACAGGTTGCCATGTGGTGGACACTGAAGCTTCAGTGTTTAGCCAGCTCTGCATCGGTCAGTAAACCTTTCTCCATTTTTCAAAATCATCTCCAATATTGATCCTAGTTTGAGCACGTTTCTGCTCGTGGAGCTTATTAGAAACATGCAGAGGCTTTTTAGGTCGATTACAATCACATCTATCTGAACCAGTACTCTTGCCCGCTTCCATCGCTGCAACACCTGTTGGTTTGACCTGATAACTGTTCTCATATCTGACAAACCGGCGTCCAAAACAGCAAACATATCTTACACATTGATCCTTTAAAGATGGTACTCACCATAAACCCAGGCAACAGCTATACATTCAAAGAATGCCACCCACAGAAGGCACACACCGCTAGCTGCATAGTAATCAAACAGCTGGAAAACATACATGCCACCCTGCAGACACACAGACAAACAAAAGGGTTAGAGAAATCTCAATTTCAAAAGGAAAAAACCCAAGCAGTCTTTAAACGTGTGCCTTTAAGTCCAGAGGGACGGTTTGGCCTACAGGAAGACCCACTGGAGGAGAAAAGCTTGTAGATAAACATCTTTAGTTCTTAAGAGACCAAGTCGGTCGACAAATATCGCCTGAAATAACCAAGAAGATGAACAGCTGACATGACCTCACATGACAATACTGCTATGTGTGTGTGTGTGTGTGTGTGTGTGTGTGTGTGTGTGTGTGTGTGTGTGTGTGTGGGCGTCCAGTGTCAAAACCGTTTAACAATCATGGGAATCCTAAACTCAAACCAGGCCATCATGGCCATAAAAAGATGTTGCCATGGGAACCGCAGAGGGTGAGGAAGGCAGGCAGTGCAGAAAATAGAAAGACAGTGAGAAGGTTGAAAGTTTTGTGAGAACAGGAAGGAGGGAGGGAGGGGAGGGGGGCTGGTGGTGTGTAAGGAAGGATGAGGATGGAGGAAGTAATGAGGGCTGATCGATGATTGTGGAGACTGAATCAGAGGGGGGAGGGGGGTTGGAGTTGGATCTGGGAGGGGAAAATCAACAAAACCCCCTTCCACTCTACACAGCAAAATAACTGTAAATAAGTGATGACGGCGGTTACTCAGGCATCAGTAGACTTTTCAAGAAGATTTTCTTCATGCTTCAAGTCACACCGTGCAAAACCATGCTGCTTCTGAGAAAGCTGTCGGTTAACTGAGCGTGTTAACATCCAGGTAGTAGAGCGGGGAGAGCAGGACCGCTAACATAGGCTGCAGCCAGCGCACGTCTACAGCACCATCTAGTGGAGGGTGGTTACATTGCAGAATGTGCATTAATGTGACCGGAATCAACGGCAATATATGAGTATATCTGGTACCGACTAGCGAGTGTGATGTTTAAGCGCTTAGTCGACTAAACACGCACACCCAAAGTTTACTAAATCACCTACGGTCAATCGTCCGAGGGATCATTTTGACTCTTTCATAAAGTTATCAGAGAGCTATGAACCAGCGTCACAGTGCCTGATGTTATGTCTTCTTTTTTTGGGGGGGCTTTTCATATCCTCCTTGAGAACACAGGACAGTGGATTGAGTTTGAGGCGGGGTTGAGAGAGTGGGGGACGATATGATGTAAATGACCGAGGGTGGGAAGGCTAAAACGGCGGCCCCTGATAGATACTTTTTAAGTGTCTTGGTTTGTACAAATCAAGGGGACAGGATCTTTGAGTTATTAAGATGATATGAGAAACAAAGAGACGTCAGAAAAGACAGAGGAGGACATGACGGGGAGGAGTCAGAACTGATGAGGGACGAGGGAAAACAGACAAGAGACAGAAATAAGCACAGAGGAGGAGGAGGAGGCGGAGGAGGAAGATTTGGAAACGCTAAGTCAGTTCTACAGCGTCTATTAATATCAGAGGAGGGAGAGGAAGTTCTCATGACTTGATTGTATAAATAACCTCTTGTCTTCTCCCCGGGGGCCGACACTAATAGCTGTCTGTTGTTCCTGCCGCACTGCACTGAGCTCTGAGCCAGAGCTCAAAAAGCAGGTCAGCGGGTTCTGGTCACCTTTTTTAAAATTATTTCAGATTTCATGAGTACTTCTGTTTGGTGCCGTTACCTTGGTAACCATTGTGAGTCCAAGCAGGTAGCTGATGCAGCAGATGATAGCGATGAAGATCTCTCTGCGGTAACCCTTCCTTAGGAAGGACGGATACAGATCCACCAGTGATGTGATCTGCCCTTCCACCTCCACAAACTGCAAAGGGGAAACACAAACACACAAAAGGGTTATCAAAAAAAAATAAAAAATCTACGTTTGACTTCACTTCTGTTGGTCCCAACCCTTTTGTTTCTGTAGTAAACGACTGATGTCACAGACTTCTGGAAGTCTAACTTCTCTCTCTGTTTCTAAGAGCTGTAGAACTTTGGATTCTCTAAAGTATGATGCTCAGAGTGAGGGAGCACACGTTTGTTTTCAACATGTGTGTGTTTTGACCACACACACACACACACGCACACGCACGTGAGGGTCAGCGCTCATGTTAATGATCGCACGTGCGGCTGAAGCAGAGGATTATGTGCAGACTCGGAGGTGAGAAATACTAAAACCCTTTTTTTCTCCCCCACGTCTGAGCCAGACAGTAAAGCCTCTGAAGGGTGGAACACTGTCCTACTTGTTTTAAACACACTATGGCACTTCAAAACTTCTGTTCATCTGGAGCTAAAAAAACACCACCAGTGAGTTCAGAACAGCTGTGCCCTCTGACGATTAAACCAAACATTAGTTGGCTTTCAGTCATTTTACTTGATGACGAAAAAAGCTGTTTTTCTCGTACGCTCACACAACATTTGCGTAAACCTCATTCCTTCATGTGTTTGAAAGAATGAGTTTGCAGCAAGTTAAGGACTAAAGCACCTTTCATATTTGAGGTTTATATTTGTGGTTAAAATGAGAAAAGCCTGATTTATAAAAGCCTCCTGTGTTGAATCTGCACAGAAGCCTACATAGCCTGACGTGCACCTCCCAAACCGTTACACCGCGCCCACCAGCTACACGCCTTGTTGTGAATAACTTTTATCCTTCATCAAATTCCCCCCCCCCCGAGCTGAATATCATCATCGCACAGTGCAAACAGACATCTAGATGTCAGGCAGTTTGCAGCCACACTGAGCTGATGTGTTTGTGTTTCTGTAAAACCCATGCACGCCAGGAAGTCCCTTTTTGTCTCCGAGTGTGCACCATATGCAAGTGAGCGTTTGGCTTTTGGATATTCTACATTTTGTTTGTCTTAAAATTCAAACACAGAGAAATACATATGAGGTTTTTTTCCTCTATGAGCAATATGCATTCAAGTGTGCAGCTATTGGACACCTCAATGAAAGTGGTGAAACGCTAACCTGACTGTCGAGGCCAAGCAGCAGCAGCATAATGAAGAAGAGAATTGCCCAGGCTGTAGGAAAAGGCATCATGGTTACAGCCTTGGGGTAGGCAATGAACGCCAGGCCTGGACCTGCAGAGGAGGGATGTGGGAGGAGGGGGGGGGGGGGGGGGGGCAAGGGGTGAGAGCAGAGAGAGAGAGAGAGAGGGTGGGGGGAGGCAACATTAGTATCATGATAAGCCTCATCTGACCTGCATCCCTGTGGGAGGAAACAGTCCCAAACAGTGGGGGTACAGAACCAGATGTGCTTGCGTGATAAAAACCTGAGCTACAGCGCTGAAAATAGGCGTGTGTATGTAAATAGTGTGTGTGTGTGTGTGTGTGTGTGTGTGTGTGTGTTATGTAATCCTATAAAGCGGTCAAGTTAAAGATTTTAAATATCTCTACAACACGTCTTCACTTACCTGCGACTCTGTCAACATCTGAGACATATTTCTAACACATGCCGCCTTTACAGCGGCGTGTTGGCGGGAAACTTTATACTGAAGAACAAAGATCCAAACTAACACAGCGCTGCAGAGGTGTAGGCCTGAATGTGACATGCTAATTACTCTGAGTGTCACTGCATCTCTGGAGAAGAAACCACTAGAGAAAGTGTTCAGCAAACTCTAAAAAGGAAGCATCAACAGCGTGCAGTGGATGTAGTGTGTGTGACGTGTGGAGGTCAATAACCCCAGAATATGTGTCAGTGTAAACATCAGAGCAATCATGTGTCATATTTCGCTTGCTAAGCTAGCTAGCAGAGATAAAACAGCTACATCATTCCAACAGCCATTTTGCATCCCTGCCTAAATAAAGCCCGATCCGGTCGATGAGGAATGCAAAATGGCCGATACAAAACAGCAGCAGATGGAATCTGACATGTCAAATAAAAGTGTTTTTTTTTTTTTTTTTAAAGGTCTTATTTGACATTGGGAACTGTGAAAAAGGAGGTCAAGATACAAGGAAGCATCACAGCTGATATCAAGGAATCTGGACATAAGTTCAAGTTTTGTTGCAAATTATGACGAGGCATCCAACCAAACACTGCGTTGACTCCATAACAACTCCCTCAGAGCTCAAACACTGGCAGGAGATTAGTAGAGTTGTACTATGTTATTTTTAAACCTGTGCTCGTGTCACTTATTTCTGGCTCTAAATAACTAATTAGTGCATTCATGTTTTTGGAATTGCTCAAGTAGATAACGTCAGCCGTCAGCTGTGAAACAGGCGGTAAGCATCTGATCGAGAACATTACAGGTAGTGCTTTTTAGTTATTGCAAGAAATAGATCCAGATCTTTACTCTAAAGCCGTTTTTACAAATGCACTCCTGAAAATATCTGGATAATTTCAGTTGAGGTTGTTGCTTCCTGTCTGCTGGCTGAAGCAACCTTCTAGAGCAATTCCAAAAACAATTAAACCAATTCATCATTTACATCCAAAAACAGGTCACAATACGACCCAGGTTTAAGAATAACAGAACTCTCTTTGTCCAAAACATCTTTTTTATTCCACACCTGGAGTACCTCAGTTAAAGATAAGATCCACATCAAACAGTGTGAGACGTCTTTTTTTTTTTTTTAAATGGAAACTGCTTCTTAGAAAACAAGTTCACACGTCAAACACTTCTCCCTCCTTTCAGCACACTCTGGCGTCAGCAGAAGCCGTTACTGCTTACTGTGCACCATGAAAACCAAACTGTGATCTTTGTGCAGTCATTCGAGCTCATCTTAAACAAACACGACGAGAAGTCATCTGTCTGCTACATCAGGACCAAGCGGTCAGAGTTAAGACCGACTCTGTTGAGATCTTTCTACACTCTTGATAGCTTCCTCACCTTGTAGACGGACTAAAGACAGAGTTTAAACACTCTATCTACTATCACGCTCTATGATTAACAACCTCCATCTCCACCTGCAGGCTCAGGGCACATTAACATTATTTTAACTGGTTATCCGTGTGCCATGCACAGCCCCAAGCCGCCATTCGCTCTTAACCTACATCCCTGACTAAACACTAATATACGGGCAGTATACGGGCAAACCGTCAGCTGGATGTAAACTGGGCTGGCAGCAGGTTTCCAGTTAGCAGACGGAGCTAAGACACATTTCACTCTTACAACACAGCATCATGTTTAAGTAACAGATTAAGGTTTACAATAGAACCAGATGCTAAACATGTCATTGTACTTTAAAGAGGAAAAACTACAAGTGTCAGGTTGAATTACAGGTTTTTACCGTAAAAAAAAAAAGTGACAAGAAAAGAGGAGATTTAAACTTTCAAAATAAAAGCCCTGAAAAGCTGCTGGTGATGCTTTTTTTTTGGAAAGTGAGCGGTACTTTGTCATCTTGGAGCTTTAAAGAAGCATCGACTAAACTCCTGAGTTGTTCTTTCAAGGGGATCAGGCCTAAACTTCCTCCTCAAACTTCCTCCCTAACTTTGCCTCCTCTGTTTCTGCACGTTAAGAGTTATCATATGCTGTGAGGAAGCAGAACCATGAGAGGGATTCTGTTGGTCCGTGGGTAAGACTGCAGCATCATGACAGCTTCAACAAAAAGAGGTTTTTCTTACATCGTTGAGAGAAAATAAATGAAGGAACGACTAATAATGCCAATGCTGATGTGCCGATATGTCACACAACAATAGCGGCGGCAAGTCGCCACATTAAGGTAGAAGGAGCCTCTCATATTCAACTCTTATAACAGACTAGACCACTGGCACAAGATGCACTCTGCTCTCATTGGCTAGCTCGAAGAGTTTGTATATTCACTTGTGTTTAAACTCTTTTGTAAGCGACCTCGCTCTTAACCTTTACTCCCAACAAGCTCACCAAATATGGTCATAAAATGTATCCCATTTTGCTTTTGTCAATGTGTGTTTGATTGCGGAAACTTCCATATTTGCGATGCCGTCATGTTTTATAAATCAGGGAATCCATTTCGTGTGATTCAGTCAAATGCATTGGGTGAATTCGCTTTGTCCGTTTTCGTTGCTGTTTTTTTTTTCTCTGTAAATACTGTTGTTTAAGTTTTTAACCAGGAAGCAGCGCCCACCATCACTGCCGCCCTTACAGGACCCTCGTACCTGACTCTGCCACATCAGCAATGTCCACCCCTTGCTCTTGTGCCATGAAGCCCAGGACGGAAAATATTGCGAAGCCAGACACAAAACTGGTACCACTGTTGAGGGCTCCCAGCAGCAAACAGTCCCTATGTCACACATATGTCATGAGGAGGATTTGTTAATGAACACACAAGGATCCCTTCACTATAGCTAACCCCCTCACTGAAAACTGGCGCCTTACCTGTAGCAGTTGTATTTGTACTTGTTGTAGCTCCCCAAGGACGTCATGGCGCCCAAACAGATGGCGTAGGAGAAAAAGATCTGGGTGCCGGCATCAATCCAGACCTGCCAAGTGGGGGGGGGGGGGGGGGAATGGGGACAGAAAGGCTGAGGCCTGCTGATGACGTGAATTACATTGGAATGTGTAGAGAAGCTAGGAGGGGGTTCAAGTCATGGATAACGACTTCTGGACTATGGGGTGTCGGTGTCTGCAGAAGACTAATTTAAATATGTTGGTACCAGATTTGTCGTTCAGATTTTATGGACTTATTTTGGTAGTCCAGTTACAATGCCCAAAGAGAGGCGTCCATCATCAAGAAAAAATGGACGCTTTTAATTTTTTTTACCATTTTTTTAACCGTTTAATTGGCGTTACCAATGGATGCCACTGTTTGCTTAAGCAGGCTGACAAAGGCCAAATTTCTTGATGGTCCTAAAAGATCATGTAGCCAGACTTTCCTGTGTCGTCAAGTATGATCAGAGCGATCCAAGTGACCAGACCGATTTCAAGTCATAAATAATGAACATGTTTAATATTTATGATTTGATATTCTGTTGTGAGAGGGGAACCTGGAGGATAGGCGAGCCAGCACTCTGTGGTCAATGGCATGGAACAAAACTAAAGCCAATTGGGAAGCGAACTGACTGAAGACGGAAGCACAACATCCGCATCAAATCAGATCATGTTCACACCATCCGACCACTTCATGCAGAGTTTGATTTGCTATTCCCGGGTCCAAAAACGTTAAGAACGCCTGTTCTATCTGCCTGTTGTCGGCCATGTTTGTTGGGGTGGGATCTGAGACGGTGCAGGGGTACCTACCTCTGGGTCCCTCAGGCGGGCCAGATCAGGGTACAGGTAGAACTTGATGCCCTCTGAAGCACCTGGCAGTGTCACGCCACGGATCAACAGCACGATGAGCATGATGAATGGGAACGTGGCGGTGATGTAGACCACCTGAAAGAGATCACGGTATTGTTTTAATCCAAAGGAGGACCCTCAAAGGATCAAGACGGCAAGTTTCAATCATGACAAAGATTACGCCTGCTTGATAACGTTCTTCATCATAAACAGGAATCATGTTTGATGTGTTGACTCTCCAGAGTTATTTTTCAGATTATGAGCTGAAGAGACCACAGCCTGCGCCTTAAATCAATGGCGGTATATCAGTCTGTGTTATCTGGCAAGCGGTGACAGGACTTGGCCTTGGAGGAGCGACTTCATTACAAGAGTTACAGCTTGGTGCAACCCGAGAGCATAACTCATGGCAGGCCAATCAATAAGAAGTGTTGAGGCTATAAAAAGAGCTGTCTGGGATTGATTGAGCCGCCTGAGGTCTGCGTCCGAGTGGTTGTTGTTGTTGTTGTTGTTGTTGTTGGACCAGAAACTGAACATGGTCTTAAATATTCTCTCTCTATATTTGTCAAAGGCGTCGTCCTGTAAACGAGGCAGCAGTGCAGGAATTTCATCCACTGGTTCTTAAAATTAAAAATTTACGGGCGGCTGTGGCTCAGTTGGTAGAGTCAGTTGTCTCTCAACCAGAAGGTCGGGGGTTCGATCCCCAGCTCCTGCAGTCACATGTCTGATGTGTCCTTGAGCAAAACACTTAGACCCCAAGTTGCTCCCGCTGCCTTGTTGTCAGTGTATGCATGTGTGTTAAAGGATGAGTTAATACTGGTGGACTTTATAAAAAAGTTGGCAAGATTTTCAACTTGAGCGCTCGGAGAGGATGCTGGGCGCTACGCTATTTCTCTGGGCGGTCGCCTGCTGCTGCAAACACTCTCTACTCATTGAAAACAGTTGTAAAAAGACTCTGGCGCCCAGGAAAAACGAAGTATTCTTTATTGTGTCATCTACTGAGTTTGTTAAACCCTTGAAGTCTAGAGGTCTAGGGGTGCTGGCCTAGCAGTTAGTCCATGTGCAGTCTTAAGTCCTCGACCAGGGTTGGAGTCTGAGTCCGACCTGTGGCTCCTTTCCCCATGTCATTCCCCTCTCTCTCTGACTCTATCCACTGTCCTCTCTGAAATAAAGGCATCAAAAGCCCAAAAAATAAATCTTTTTAAAAAGTCTAGAAGTCTTAAATGTACATTAAATCAAACTTTATTTCAGTCAGGAAATACTGCTGCAGAGCTCAGTGTCTTTGGGAGGAAGTACAACCAAGTGAAACCAGATGTTTCCTTGACAGTATTGTATTGTTCCCTGCTACAGAATCCAAACACATTAAGTCCCACCTCGCCTTAATTTAAATATCAGACCCCGTAAAACAAGCAGGCTTTTGCACATGATGAACTAGTGCACAGATTTGGTTTGCATCTTATTTCAATTATTCAGATGTAATGCTGTGAACATGATTTTTCTTCATGGATTTAGAACCGTAACACTGCGAGCGCATGCACTTGCTGCTTCCTCAGGCCTCCCTGTTGGAAACATTGCTCTCATTGTTCTCTTGGTCAGACCGCAGTGAAAACATCATATGACCATCAGCCCGTCATGACTTCTGGCAGGCGTTAACATTTAGCAATCATAAAATGATAAACAGATAAGACAGGGTTCAGCAAGTTTTTTAGCAAGCAAACAAACACACAAAAAGAGATGGGATCAACTTTGCAGAGTGTAAACAGCTGTAAACAGAGGGCATTATGGGTAAACAGACACACATATATTTACCTTGCCGGTGGACTTTACTCCCTTCCAGATGCAGAAGAAGCAGATGACCCAAACAAGCAGTAGACACAGAGCCAGGTCCCATTTAATAGTCCCAATGTTCTCTATACCATTGGTGATCCCCAGCACATTATGTCTGCAACAGAGAAGGAAAAGCGCCGTCAGTGTGCGCGTTCATCTCGGCAACTCGATCGTAGCTGAATATGGCAAAAACATTCCATGACAATCAATGTTCCACATGTGTGCGTTTTTATCATAGACTGTACCTTTGAATGTTTGAATCAGGATGTAAACATGTTAATTTCTGCTGTAAAAACAGGCTTTTTTGAATGGGTGTGTATGTGACTTCCTGTGCTTCTACATCCAGCCTCTAGTGGACAATCAGTAAACTGCAGGTTTATTGCACTTCAGCATTGGCTTCATTTTTCAACACCAAAGTCTTCTGCTTGGTTTAGATGTAAAATAATTGACAAGTGAGACGATAGTTTGGCTCCATACTCATTTTCCAAGATGCTTTGAGCAGCCAGCCATGCGATTGCACAATTCACATTGAATGGAGGTAAAACAAGAGCTGCCAGGCCCACACAGTCCTGAGAAATGTTCTAAACTAGCAAGATTTGCCTTTTTCATCTTGGCTTTCTAATAGTTATGAATAAATTATTGACACTCAGATTTGGATGCTCAATGATATATTCAAGTTTAATGTCACATACGGTTTTGTAATCTTCCAAGTTCCCAGAGGAGTTAAGATAATAACCCTGAAGTGTCCTGTGTTTTAATGTTTTTTTCCCTTAAATGCAGGTCCTGATTGGCTGCAGCAAATCTATTTTTAAAGATCATTAACGTAGACGTTGTACCTTAACCAAACGTTCCACCTAAAAAAAACAAAAACAAAGTGTGGTTTCTACAGCTGTGCATGCATGTGTCCTCTTATGTAACTCACTCCCAGAACTCGGTGACGGGGGAGGTGAAGTTGGAGGCGTTGGCGGCCACCCAGAAGGATTTGTTCTTGCGGTAGGTGTCCTCGATGCAGCGATAGGTGTTCCAGGGCTGATTGCACTTGGCCCAGGGCAGCTCCGGCTGAAAACACTGAAATCCATAGAAAGATTAGAGTTATGTCAGGACACAAATTTGGGTTAGGATGTGATTACTCCTGATTCGCTGGCAGGTGTCCTTTCAGTCCAGTTGAAGATAGAGTCAGACTATTCTACCTACAAAACAAAATACAGACTTATACTAAAGTAAGGCTGCTCCATCATCCCCTCTGGGCCTCTATACATGTGTTGTGGGGACTGTGTCAGCAGAGTCCCTCTGTCCTCTGTCTGGAGGATTTCAGGAGGACTACCCCTGAAATCTTCCTGACCTGCCTGTTCACACATGCACGTCACTGGAGGGGGGGCGAGGGGTCTCATGAGACATGACAAGTTAAAAACGTAAAAATAAATATCAATATTCTTATAATAGAGCCGGCCACTTCTACGTCGTTCTTTTTATGTCATGTATTGCCACAGAAAGTCCGACAGGGATAGTCTCCAGCTGTGAGGTACATGTGTGAACAAGCAGATCAGGAGGATTTAAAGGGGCAGTCCTCCTGAAATTATCTAGATATCTTCAGGAGTGCATGTGTGAAAAACCGCAAATGTAACTTTTACATGCAACAATCAACGTCAGTCATCTATGATTCAGGCTACAAAAAAAAAAAAAGATGTTTCCATCAGTGTCTTTTTTCTCAAACCTACCTGGAACAGATAGTAGAGACCCCAGGCCAGGATGACGATGTAGTAGATATTCAGCAAGGACACGATCACAATGGAGGCATAACCGATACCTGGAGGAGAAAGGAGGTGGAGGTGATGATAGAGAAAACATCAACAGAACAATAAAGTGGAGCAGAGGGAAACCAGCATCATCAATCTTTATGGAGAAAGGTCGCTCTCTCTCAAAGCAGCAGATATGTCAGCAACATGTGATATAAGTAAACAACACTCTAAAGAGAACATTTCCTCTTCTCAAATCTTCAACTTCCTTTCAAAGGCCGACACTTTTAACCGTATAAGTTCCTCAAATGTCCACATAGTTTGTGCAGGAGGAAGGTGTGTAATGCGATAAACTCGATTGGTCTGCAAAGAGGATGCACAAAGAAGCGACACAGTGAATGAAACAGGAAGTGGAACAGATGCTGGTGGGTGGAGGTGTTGTGCAGATTGTGTATCATAAAATGTGACCAAACCTCTGAGATCTACCTCCTGAATTTAACAGAATAAAACCTGAACTGATGCTTTTGTCTCACGCTGCTAGACTTCAAACCTACAGAACAAGGAGATCTGTTCCATATTTTTTAATATAAACATATCACGTGAAGATGTTGGATGTCCAAACTAAACCTTGACAATGTTTCTTTAAACACAACATACACAGTTGTTAGCCAAATCCCCGAACGTAGTAGAACCTGACGTCAGGTTCTGGCGACCTATCAGAGCAAAGCATGGAGGAAAGTTGTAGGACACGCCCACCTTGAAGCTCACTCAGAATCAAAAATACTTTATTAATCCCAGGGGGAAATTTGTTTGCTACAGTTGCTCATAACACCAAAAATCAGAAGGAAGTACAGATAAGTTCATAAAATAAAAACAGTAATAACAATATAATAAGCATAAGTACCATGTGAAAGCAATAATAAAGTAGTATAAGTAATAAGCTATGTAAATGTACTCAAATGTTGCTGCATGTGCAAACAGTGCTGGCCAATCAGGGGAGAGTGGGCACATGGTGAGGCGGGCCCTTAAAGAGACAGTAGCTAAAATGAAGCGTTTCAAGCAGAGGCTGAAATGAGGGATTTTACTGACACCAGTGTCAGATAAATAAGGAAGTTTTTGAGCTGCACATAATGCTGCTAAACAGGTGTCCCAAACTGACTTCATTAATGGTTGAAGTGAGGATAATAGATCTCCTTTAAGGCGCTCTCTGTCCTCGTTAGTATTTGCCTTCTGTCTGTTTTCACATGAAGCTCTCTGTGCATGTAGCTCCCAAACTGTGAAGCACATGTGCAGCCAGAAAAGATCTCCTCAACCAAAAGAGGGTGAAATTGTGACTTTGAAAGGAAGTTAAAGATTCACATCCTGACTCTGCACGCTTATCCTTCAGTGTTACAGATAAAACTGACTATGTCACTGGATTTCTTGTGTTTACTTTACTGCTGTGGAAAACACTGTTTTCATTGTTTGCCCTACATAACGCTGCTCGTTCCTCACAGGATTTACTGCAACCACGCTCCAAATCCAAAATTCCTATGACTTAAAAGTTGGCAGATAGAAGAGTACGTTGAATCGAGGTTGATCCATCGGCTTGAGATCGTAAACAAACTGCTGTATGTTTAGCTCCCCGTCAAGGTCTGCAGCCGTCAGGTTTCCGCTTTTCTAACCTTCGCTGTTGTTGCCCTGCACTTGAATCTTGTTCGGCATGTTAGGAGAGCGATGGGCTGATTTTCACTGCGTCACTCTTGGCCTTAAGAATGAGCTGCTGCTATACACAGGCTCAATAACATGTGAGCGTGTGTGTGTGTGTGTGTGTGTGAGAGAGAGAGAGAGAGAGAGAGAGAGAGCGCGTGTATCCTCCTACACGAGGATATAAAGATGAGGCTCATCTCATAAAACAGGAGCGGGTGTATGAGTCCACATTCGGGCAGAGATTAGGTCGTGAATGTGGTTTCAGGTGGAAGGTTTAGTAATGCTTGTGCGCGCTAAACGTCCTCATAAGTGTATTAGCCTGACTTGTATGCGAGTGTGTGTGTGTGTGTGTGTGTGTGTGTGTGTGTGTGTGTGTGTGTACTGTCAGGAGACACACACACAGCGGCAGAGACCACTCATCCAAATGAATGCCCTTCACCGTCATCGGCCATCTGTATATACGTGTCTGTGTGTGAATTTCAGAGTGTGTTTTCGCACGTGTGTAAAATTGTGAGAGCTATTTAACCATTTTCATTTTAGTCCCTCCGACGCTCGTCTAAACCCGCAGCTGCTGAGCGTCTCCATCTTTCTCACACACACACACACACACACACTCTGCTGCTCAGATGACATGGTACAGTGCTGATCAAACAAACAGATGCAACCTCCTCCATGATGTCATTTCTTGTTCTCATCTGCTGACCTCAGCTGACCTCGCTCCGTCTGTTTTCATTCACAATCGATCGTCTCACAACAAAAAAAAAACAAAAAAAAACGTAGAAATATTTATTTTCACACTGGCACGTGAGAAGACTCCCACTGCAAGGATGAAGCCGGTTTGTTGGTGACATAACAAGTGCAGCAGAGAGAATGAAATAGAGAACCAAAAACAGTCTGAAAACAAAAAGTCAGCGCTAAACCGCAATGTCATTTTCAGAGAGGAAAGCATTTGTTCTCTAATCCACTTCATCATTGGCTCCTCGTCCAGCGTCTGACGTTTGCAGCTCTCCTCCGGATGCTCTGCAGCGTTAACGTGTTTTAAGTTTCTGTTTTAGTAAAAGAAGAAGTAAGATCGAAAGCTGTTTTCCTGCAGTCCTCGTGAGTCTCTGACCACGGCATGATTTGTGTTTATATCTGACCTTCAGCTGCTGAACATGCCAGACATTTAAGTGGCAGTTTCACGGTTTGTAACACGGCAGTATGAGCAGCAGAATCTACTCTGATTTAATGAAAGTACACGGGTTAGAAAGACGCAAAAAATAACTGCACACTGATGCAGCATTTTCACTGCAGCTTATAAACACAACATTCAAGCGTGGCCCCTCCTCCTGGGCTCATCTGCCCCCAGAAGCTCCGCCCCCTGCAGGACTTATTGTGTACGTTTACTGCTTGTACCTACACTGCAAGCTAACGTACGCTAGCACAAGCTAACCGCCTGGTGTTTGTCACCTGCCTCTCCAACAGGAAGCAGACCAACTCCACGTCCACGAGTAAAAGACAACACAAGGTTCACCCTCGTTTTAGAACGAGCTTTATCCGCTTGGTGTTTCTCCTCACTTTGATTATATTTTCTCTTTGCTGCTACGTCCACGTCCGTCATATTCACCGGTTTGAATGGCGTCCAATCGCTAAAATGTATCCACTCCTAAACTCACCTGCTGCGCTGTCATTGGCTGGAGGAAACACACCTGCTCGCCACCCGCCCGTATTTTACTATAAAGTGCGTTCAGTATATTTGCACAACAAATGACACATTGTCCATATACAAAAAGAGGAGTCTACTGTTTCCATATTTTAATTTCATCCTCCTTGTTTCCTCCCTCTCTGCCTCACCTGTCCTCCTCTCTTTGTCTCCCTCTCTTCCTCACCCCCCTCCCCCTCCTCTGTGTTGTCATCTCTTCCTTTTACTTTGCTTTGTTTCCTTTCCTCTCTCCTTCCTCCCCCCCTCATCTCTGTCTTCATTTCCTCCAGTTTCTCTCATTTTTTTTATCAGCCTGTGATCTCTCTCCATCTCCGTCTCGCTCTCTCTCTCTCTGATGTTTTGCCGCGCTGTTGCCGTAGCAACGTGATTTGGGACACTCTGTACACCGTCTTGGGTGTGCGTGTTTGTGTGCGTATGTGTGGGCGAGACAGGACCGGGGGGGGGGGGGGGGGGGGGGGGGAGGTGGTGTCTGAAAGAAAGAAAGAACGTGTCTAAATCTTCAAACATGGAGAATAATATGTCTACATTTTTTTTTTTTTAAATGAGAAAACAGAATATGTGCCAAGTGAGGGAAGGATGGCCGTAGATGAACACATTAACCTTATTCAGGTGGTTGTCGAGCAGGAGGAGAGGGGGAGGTGAGAGGAAACGAATGAGCCGCGTCTCCTTAACGAGGTTAGACGTCTAAGAATCTAAACGCTCCTCCTCAGCGGCAGAGAAGGTTTTCCAACGGGGAGACGAGATGGGAGCTACTGAAGGTTGAGGAGGCAGAATAGAGGCCTCAGTGTGTTGGTGAACCAGAGCGGGCCTGGTTGCCTGGTAACAGTTGCAGGGTAAAGTCTGGGCCATCTGATTGGAGGAGAGTCTGGTGTGACTCAGCCTTATGTTGCACAGCCATTCCTCTGTGAAAAACAACAAGAGGTCTGAAAGAAAATGTTCAACCTGGTAGCAGGGACACACACGCCCCAGCGAGGTGCTCATCAGGCTGAGAACTGAGAAGAGCACGCTGTAGTGGGAGGGGCCTAAAGCTGAATCAGAGTACCTTTGCTGGTGTTGGATGAAAAGCTGAACAGTATGTTGTAAATTTATTTTTCTGACTAAACGAAACTCAAATGTAAACGCTTATGTGTCGTCCTCGTCTGTGACTCTGTTTCATGCCATCATATGCACGCCCCTGTGACGTTTCACCTTCAATCTGAATGTCATAATGGAGGCGAGACAGTAAGTAAGGCGGCATTCTGTGGCCACATCTCGGCGCGCGTCCAATAGGAGGGAAGATTAGATCACAGCAAACGGTGTCCCACATCCCTGAGCTCTAGTTTAAAGACCGATCGGGACATCGGGGTAGACGGAGCTCCCCCGACCTTCAGCGCGGTGATCTGGCACTACTACCACCCAACGTCCCTGACGTCCAACCACCACCATCGGACCCACAACCACCGCCGTCCTCGTTCATGCACGGCCTGCTCCGACCTCCACCTCAGCGGGGAGGAAGTGTGCCCTGGTGATTTCATGAACAAACACCCTTGTCTCCTCCTCCTCCTCCTCCTCCTCCTCAGCAGAAGAAGAAAGGTCAGGGGAGACGGTTTCAGCAGAGCCAGCAGGAAGAGTGCAGCGCTGTGTGTGTGTGTGTGTGTGTGTGTGTGTGTGTGTGTGTATGTGCATGTGGAGCTCAATGTGAATTCATAGACTAGGATATCAGTATTACGCCGACCAGGAATCAATATGAGCATACAAAGACAAAAGATATGACGAGTTTACATACCAGTAAAGATGGGGCACAGCTTCTCCCAGCAGGTGATGCCGCCCTCAGAGGTGAACTGACCAAGGGAGACCTCCAGGAAGAAGACCGGCAGACCTCCGCCAAACAGGAAGATGAAGTAGGGGATGAGAAATGCACCTGGGTGGAAGAGAGGAGAGATGATGACCAAAGTAAGAAGGATAATAATAATAACTTTATTTATATAGCACCTCTTTAAAAACACAGGTTTACAAAGTGCTTTGACAAACAGCAAAAACAAGAACAAAGCTAACTAAACCAAACACAGAAGAACATAAACAACAGCAAGAACAGAACAAATGCAAAATACTAAAATACAATACTTAAATACAATTCAGCAGAAAAGAACCCATAGTGCACGATACCCAACAGACATATATATCCCAACCATTACAAGGAACCATGATAAGAACCCAGGAAACACAAGAACCCAACAACACGAGCTGAGACCAAGAGGACCAAAGATTTAAAAAGATGTAAGAAATTAAAAGAGCTAAAAGCAAATAAAAAGATAACAGCAATAAGAAGGTAAGAGCAGTAAAAGAAATAGAAACAAGTGACGAGCAGACAGAGAAGATTCAGAGACATTTGAAGACGCCATGGAGTAACAAGAGGCAACACTGTGAAAACAGCTTTTTTTTTGGTTGTGATATTTTAACGTCTTACCTCCACCATTCTTATAGCAGAGGTACGGGAAACGCCAGACGTTCCCTAAACCCACAAAGCCGCCAGCGACGGACAGAACAAAGTCCAGCTTGCTGGCCCACTTCTCCCTCTGCGGGTGTTTGCCCTCTGCCTCGTCTTCAGGCCTCGTGCCGGGGCTCTTTCCAGGAGATGGCTTCAGGGTGTCCTTATGGAAGTCCTTCAGGCACTGAAGTTTCTCTTTCTGAGCCATTCTGCAGAAACAGGAAAGAGAGAGAGACTTTTCAGAGACTTGTTCATATTAACAGATTATCAGACAGCGTGGTGTTTGTGTTCAGTTGTTCAATGCTATTACTGCTGATTACCAATTATTGACCCGACTCGTGCTGCCTCCTTTGCTTCCAAAAAAACCCCAGGATTTTTGTGGTTTGGAGGGTTTTTGTGTCCCGTCTGGCTGCTTTTGCTTTTCTTGCTTTTACCCACCAAAACAAACCGCAAACACTAAGACCAACAATAACATTTCCCGTTACAAAGTTTCAATCTGAACCACATCATAGGCCAGTTCTGCAGATATCACCCAACCCTACTTCACATACTCTGGCATCACTCAGTCAGAGGAGGGGCAATGTTTGTGATTTTGTCCACAGCCAACTAGCCCTGCAGAGGTCAGGGTCATGCTCACGCTGATGTCAGCTGTGCTCCGGTGGAAATAAAAAACGACGCTGATCGCGACTGGGATTCAATCTTGTGATGTCACAGATACAGGAGTAATATCTGTGGATGAGGCGGATCACTCCGACTTCATTTAAAAAGGTAAAAAAGCACAAAGACAGAATGTGTCCCCTTACAGCCATGACGATGTGTATCATGATTTTTTATTCCTTTCCAAAGCTTCCCAGCTGTCGTCAGGAGACTCATTAATTAATCCATGGGGTAACGTTAGTCCCTGATAAACCATTTCACTTCACTTTCACATGTTCCATCAATAACTATGATGTTTAATCGTGTCCATAGTTCATAACCTGAGTAGTCTGGACTCTGAAGCCGAGTCTTGGCTCGTTTTCAGATTTGTACCTGCGAGGTTTTATTGTGCATGTGTCAACACTCGCAAGAATGAATTAGGCCGTCTCCGATCATGTGAACTGTTCTCACAAGCATTCAACGATATCCTCACCCAACCACAAAGCCACGCTCGTAATGAATCCAACCGTGTCGACATTGTCAGTTCAAAAACACAATGCATGACCAGAGGTCAGTCAGTAATGCCGTTTTCACATCTGCACTCCTGAAAATATCTAGAAAACTTCAGGACTGCTCCGGGTATTCTCCTGACCTGGCTGTTCACACATGCACCTCACAGGGGGGGGGGGGGTTTAGACGAAGGAACAAAAAAAAAGCCCTTTCAGGAAGCCTTTACAGCGCTCCTGCATACTGAATTAGAAAAAGCTTCCTCGGTTGAATTTTGCAGCTTGTTTGTTCTGTGGATATTGAACACCAGCAAAGATCAGACTGGCTTCATCTGATCGGGTACTTTACTACAGAAGGGCCACAGAGTAGTGATTCAACTTCCCAGTTTCAAAACGTGGCATCAGATGAGAGCTCGGTGCTGATGGACTGATCCAGTCTGAGGATTATTCAGAGCTGGCTTTATGTCAGACTTTTTGAAGCCTCTCTTATCAAAGAGTGTATTTAGTGAGGTACAAAACATGCTGCAGCCCTCACCTACACTTGGGCCCTTTTTTTTTGGTTTTCTGAAAGGATTTGTAAAATTGTCGAGGCCAAAAGACCTCTTCAGACCGTCGTTTCAAGCCACACTACTTGCACTGCTGTGACGTTTCACCTTCAATCTGAATGTCGTGAAGGGGACGAAGTGATCCCCCGTCTGGACCGGGGAAAAACATCTTAAGAAAATAAAGGTAATGAATAAATGCATTTAAAAAAAAAGTATAAGTATATATAATAAAAATGAAAAATACAAAAGGGTATTACAAAAAAAACTGATAATTTATATAGATGATCAATTACAGGTCAACCCGATTTAGAAAAAAACAACTGTACTGCAGTCTATAAGACTTTAATTGCCACACACGTACCCCCAAATCCTGCCTCCTGCACTGGTAGGGGCGAGAAATAATAAATAAGCGTACAAATATAGATCCACATACAGCATAGTCTAATACACGAATGCCTGTGCATAAACATCACTCTGGAACTGCAGGGAAATGTAGACGCCTAACATAAGAAAAGAAGGGGGACCACATTGCGTTGAATTTGTTTAGAGACCCTTTTAGCGTGTGTCTAATTTTCTCCAACTTCACACAACTTTATACAGAGTAAATCCGAGTTCTGAGGTTAAACAGAACGCAGCGGAACTCTTTCCTCTCGCTTCCTCCTTGAAATGATTTAAATGCAGCTCTGTAATCAGTCACACGTTCAGGCGTTATCAGAGCCACAATGACACATCTAGAGCTGTAAATTTCCACCCAACAATGGCTGAGCGAGAGAGAGAGAGAGAGCGACACAGAGACAGAGAGACAGAGAGAGAGAGAAAGAGAGCGAGAGAGAGAGGGAGAGAGAGAGGGACAGAGAGGATTCTTGTACAAAACCAGTCGACATAATGATGGCGTTTCCTCGCTCCGTTTGCGTTGACGATGGCGCGCATGTACAGAATATGTCCCCATTATCGGGTGTCAACAGAAAAGAACCCATATTGCACGATACGGGTGTAATGATCCCTCAGGCAAGTTAATGATTACACAAACACAGGGACGTTTTTACTTCATGACCAACATCCTCTACGGTTAATTAATAACATTAAAGGAAACTGAATACACTCCCCTCTGTGCCAGTGTGTGCTGCCCTACAAAGCCAAAGTGCAGTATCTGCAAAAATGCCAAACTGAGAAAACCAGCTTTTTGTGTTTTTTGTTTGCCAAGTGCAAGTATAAAATTATATTTAAAAACCAATTGTATGATTGCTTAGATGAAAGTGAAGTGAATTTGAAACATATTGTAATTTGAAATTCAGGTTAACCATTTCAGTTTTACGGCACTTTGCCTTGGTTTTACTGCTGAATAATTATATGGCCAAACACTGATGGACTGCAGTAACAAACAATTGTTAATGGGTTTTAATGTAATTGAGTAGACAAACGAGATGTACCGTATATTCTTTTCCACTCATTTGTTTTGTTTCCTATTTTATTTTATAGATCAGATTAAAATATATATACATGTTACAAACACAATCTTACAGTTACAGGCCTGTATGTTTGGGTATGTGAGCAACAATTCATATGAACTGAAAAATTTATTAAAATCAATTAATTAATTAACACTGAATGCAACACATGAATGCGTTCTATGAGACACATGCAGTAAGTGTCACTTACTGCAGTTTGCCTTGGTTTCACAGTGTATTTTACAGATACTGCGTAACTAAAAAACCCAATATCTCTGGGAAATAAAGCAGTAGAACTACGAAACTCTCAGAGATTGAGGAGCAGATGCTGCACTTACAATTTGTACAAAAAAGTGAATTTCACAAAAAGTGCAGATACTGCAGATATTTCAACAGATGCTGCTGAACAAGAGGAAGGAAGGAGAAAGGAAGGATTATTAAGAACTACAATCAATAAGCTTCTGATGCACATGTATATTAATAATGGAAGCAGAACTCTTTGTTAATATTTATGTAGAGTAGGTTTTGCAAATCTCATGTTTCAATAAAAGCTTTTCTAATTGCGTAACACCTTCACCCTGAGGAAAGGCATTACAATATTTAAATCCAAAGCTCTAAAGGAAGTCATGTTTTCAATATTTACAACTCTGTCAAGTGACTGCGATCGCCACATTCAAAGGCTGTTGTTAAAAAGTGGACTTTGAGCCATGAGGTCATATCCTAACTTAGAGGTAAACACTGGGGTGAACAAATATGGACATGGACCTTACAGAAATGAAAAGAGAATTACATCAAGAGTTGGGCTTCACAGGGGTTGGCAGGTTTGATCATGCAGTGTGCAATCATCTGTGTTTATGCATCAGGAAACTGAGTTCATAACACCATCCCAAACGTGCACAGGTCTGTAGATTTCACTACATCGATTTATCTGATGACACTACCAGTCACTGGAGGATGATTAATGCTCGCTCTGATGACCTGTTGGCTAAGTCAAGCACAGCCTGGTACCAGAAACACTTGGACCGAGAAGAAATAAAGCCAACACAAACAGATTTTTCGAAGGTCGAAAGACTGCAAAAACAGCTACAACATGAATCAGCTTCTTAAGGTCAGACGAGAGAAGATAACAACTTCTAGAATGCAACTTTATTAAAAAAGGAGTCCAATCATGCAATCTGAGGCTGAATCTTAACGCAGACACTGTCGAGAGAAATTCTCCCCCCCTTAGTTGAAACAAATCAACTAAGGCCGATATACAAGCGATGCAAGTTTGAGTTTATTCACATCTTATCCTTTAACTTTCCTTTAGGATGCAAACCTAATCATGGTATTATATTTGTTGTCGTCAGAAAGCAAGGAGCATCCGATGAAAGGTAAACCCACTACATAGACATTTTAAGGACTGTAACGTTGGAGTACTCGTATCAACGTTCAGTAACTTAAAAAGTGATCCCCTCCTCCTCCTCCTCCTCCTCCTCTCGCTGCTCCTCCTCTCGCTGCTCCATATTTCCTTCACTCCCACTCCTCCATTTTTCCATTCTCCTCTTTTTACCTTCCCCCCTTTTTTTGTCCCGTCTTCCTCCCGGCGTATTCTCATGCCCTCACATTCCTCTTCACTCGCATTCTCACTTCATCACATTTCAACACATCCATCCTGTTTTTCCGTAAATTTCCTAATTGTCCTTTCATCGAGGTTTCTAATCTCGTGCCTCCTCCTACACCTTCTCTGCCTCCGCATCTCATCGCTATTTGTGATTCTTCTTCTTCCTCTTTCTGTCTCACTTGCTTTAGTCCTCCTGTGTCACATCTGTGTCCCTTATCTCTTCTTTTAACTCATCATCTCAGTCCCTCCCCCTCCTCCACTCTCTCTTCTTTTTCATCCACTGCATCCTTTATTTTACTCCCTCTCGACTCCCCTTCTCTTTGCCCTGCTGTCGACCTCCATCTTTTCTATATACTTTCATTTTTTACCGCTCCCTCCTGCCCCGTCCTTTTCCTACGACCAGCTTCCTCGCCCCTCGTCGTACGCTCTGCATCACTTTGACATCACTCCCTGCGCCTCTCACTTTCATTT